ACCCCCTGCAGTCCCAGTCTGCTGGAGGGTCTCCTAGCACAGTCAGCTCCCTCCCTCCAGGGCACCCTGCGGAGCTTTGGGGCTGGGGCCAAGGCCCCCTGAGTCTCCTGTGCCCCCAGCACCCTCGGGCATGGGGTTAGCAGACCTCTCCCTGTCCTGGCCCTTGTTCTGCACATACGCTTACTCGTCACTGGCAAATTAACTCAAAGAAGCATTTATTAAACCCCAACTGTGCGTCAGGCCCTATGCTGGGCACTGGGGACTCAGGGTCGCCAACATGGTCCCTGCTGTGACAAGACAGTGGCACAGGAAAGATGAACTCAGGCCCCAGACCTTCCCCCAGGGGGACTCCTGCCCGAAACAGCTGGGCTGAGCTCTTGTACCTGCCCCAGCCGCCAGGCGAGCCAGAAACTCCCAGCCTGGCCACGCTGGGTCAGCTTGAAATCTTCCCTGGAGAATTTCGCACACACAAAAGTACTGCGGAGAACAGTATAACGACCCCCAGAGACAGTCTACGACGGATCCCCGCTCCAGTCTACGACGGATCCCCGCTCCAGCGTCACTGTCTCCAACTTGCCCTGAAGCCTTTTCCTCGCCCTCCGCACCTTAGCCCCTCCAGATTATGCTGCGGCCCCGCTGCTCTGCTTTTTTGTTCTGCCCTAAAAACAAGTGACCAGACCGAAGTCCAGCCCCGGGGAGCTCAGGCAGCCCCGCCCTCCCGCCCAGACAGGACGTGTCTCCTGGGGGCGCAGCCTGACACGGGGCTGCCTGGAGGCATGTCTCCTCCGCGGCCTCTGAAGGACCTTCTGCCGGACCCTGCGGCACCCCAGGGGACCCGGGAAAAATGGAGGCTGTTGGCGCTGCAGCCTCAGGGCCGACGGGGCTGGCAATTCCTTCCCGTGTTCCTTTGAGTTTCCCCCAGAGACAGGACCACTTAGAAACCTATAAATCCCTGGCAGGGCTGACAGCCCCTGCGAGTATATAAATCGGTACTTGTAAAGGCCTAATGGTCCCCTCTGGACGGCTGAGAGGAACGCGTGCCAGGAATCCTCAGGCGGGTCCCCAGGGCCCGAGTCGTGGTCGGGATGCAGACCAGCAGGGCGGGGGCCCAGCGCTGGGTCCAGCTCTGCCTGGCCCACGGCCCCGGCCAGTCATCTCTCTAGCCTGAGTTCTTGCCTCTGTAAAACGGGGTGACAACACTCACCTTGCAGAATGTCGCCACGGAGCTGCAGGGGCCTCCTAGCATGGGAGGCATTAGCTCTTCGGGTGGACGAAAGGGTGAGGTGGACACAGCGCGCTGGGCCCGAGTTCGGGTCCCCACTGCCCATCGCTGACCTGCTGCCTGCTCTGTGACCTCAGACAAGTCATGCCCCTCTGCGCCCATGTCCTCATTGCACAGGCTGACTGAGTCCACAGATCCTCGTGGGGCCCTCCTCTGTGCCAGGTTCTGCAGAGGCCGGTTCTTGTTCCCTTGTCCGTCTTTCCTGCTCCACTAATTGTGTGTAACAAGCGGGTATTGAGCACCTGCTGTGTGCCAGGTGCTGTTCTAGGGGCTGGGTGGTCAGCAGTGAGAGGGACAGATTAAAACCTGCTCTCCTGGGCCTTGTGTTCAGTGGGGGCTTCCCTAGCCCAGGCCTGCTGCAGCAGAGGGTCAGGGGAGTCCGAAGGCACAAAGCTGCCATGTCACAACCCTGACCACTCTGTGCTTGGCATCCCCTCCTCCCCTGCTGGGCTGTCTTGGGGGCGTGCAGAGAGGCTGGAAGCGGTTGCAGAAACGGAGTCTTTGGGCCTGGGCTTCCAGTCTGTGCAGTGAGAGGGCTGGGGCTGGTGGTCCAGGTGGGCCCGCTCAGCCCTGGTGTTCTGGGTCTGTGATAACTCATGGGGCCCCCAAGGCAGCAGGAGCTGGCCTCTCCCACCAGGACGGCCCTGCCCCAGCCACCAATGCTCTGTGTTGCCTTGGGCGGGTCACTGTCCCTCTCTAGGCCACAGGGAATTAGGGGGCGTGAGGAGGGAGGGAGCAAAGAAAGGAGGAGGGTAAGGACCACACCTGGCAGTGTGCAGAGCAGGCTCACAGACACCGCTGAGGCAGGAGAGAGAATGGAGGAAAGAGAGAGCGAAGGGATGAACTGTGGGGTGGAGAAAGGGAGGGAGGCAAGAACTGGGAGGGGAGGAGGAGGGACAAAGGGGCTAGGGCAGAGAAACGGTGAGACAGAGGGGGATGGGAGGGCAAGGAGCCAGGGAGGAGTGGAGAGGGATGAGGGGGAGCAGAAAGAGAGTGAGGATGCAGGGAACAGAGGAGAGGGAGGAAGAGGGACAGAGGGGAGGGAGGAGAGAGGAAGGGGAGGGAGGAGAGAGGGATGGGGGGGAGGAGAGAGGGCCCCTGGTGGAGACAGAGACTGGGAGGCTGTGGGGAGGGGGCTGGGCCAATCTCGGCCTGGGCTGGACAGAGGCCAGGGCTGCAGGGCAGTCTGAAGTGGCTGGGCTGTGAGGGCAGCATGGTCACCTGGCAGGCCTGGGCACTGTCCCTGCGCTGTGCATCCCCCTGGGGCCCCTGGGCAGACTCAGCTCCCGACGCTCTATAGACCCTGCAGGGCCCCCAGCCTGTGGCCTGTCCCCAGGTCGGGCGAGATACACCAGCCCCTGCACCTAACCCCACTAACCCCCCGCCACGTGACAGTGACAGTCACACCTCCCTGCCAACTGGGGGTTGTTGCATGCCCCTTGCAATGGTGGCCGGAGGCTCCCATGCGCGCCGGGCTCAGTCCCTGGCGCAGGGTCGGAGCTCAGGAAGGGCTGCGGCCTTCGTGTTTTCTGGCTCATGCCAGGCCCACGGGTCTTGCCAGGTGGACCCTGCTGTGCCGTGTTCACTTTAGATCAGGAGGGAGCCCTCGTGGGCATCAGGGCGCCTGTCCCCTGAGCGTGCCAGGAGGAGCCAGGGCTCAGAGGGGTCCCGTTTACAGCTCGGGGTACCCGCGACAGCTGGGACTCACCACGGAGCCCCTGCTACAGCGTGGCTGTGGGGACTGCCGTCACCCCCGGCTCCGCCCTCTGCTTGTCTCTGTCTCTGTCTTTGTTTCTCTTTGCCTTTGTCTCCTTTTCTCCCTCTCTCTGCTCTCTGAAATTAAATGAGATCCAACTGCCGGCTCCCTGTGTGTTCCCCTGCTCGCGGCTCAGCCCTTTTCATTATTAATAGAAATATGTCCTCATTGTACAGCTTAATTCTGGAGTGGATTAAGTATTTACAGTGACATGCAGCATCGATTCCTGAGCATCCCTGTTCGGGGAATTTTGCCACAGCCTAATTAGTTCCATAAAATCAGTGAGGGCGGGGACGCGGGGCTTGAGGGGGCCCTGGGTGAGAGCCAGGGGCTCCCAACGTGCTGCGTGACATTGGGTCAGTCCCAGGGTTTGGACCAGCCCACTCCAGGAGTCCAGGTCACCTGAGTCCTCGGAGTAGCACGGCGTGGCGGTGAGAGCGTGGGCTCTGCAGCCCGACGCCCGGGTTGGGATCCCAGCCCGACCCCTCGCCGGCTGTGCCACACGGCAAGTTGCTCACGCTCGCCTCCCTCCTCTCTGTGTAGGTGTCAGGGGCTGGCAGGGAAGACAGCCCTTGCCAGACTGGGGCAACTGAGGACAGCTTGATGAAGAGACTGTGCACAGTGGGTGGGCAGGTGTCCCCAACCCCACTCCACACCTGACGACGGGGGACAGGGAGCTGCCCCTCCATCTACAGAGTGGGCTGTGTGGAGGGGGCTTGACCACAGCCGAGACCTTCAGTGGAGGACACAGCTGCCCGCGGGCAGCCCCTCCCTCCTGCCCTCCTTCCCGGGCTGGGCTCCTCACTGGCTCGTGCCAGAGGGCAGCGGGGTCCAAGCGCCATCCCTAGGGGTCACGCTCAGGGGTCGTCAGGGGTTGGCCCGGGGTGGGTTGTGCATCCGAGTGGTAAACAGGACAGTGGTACAATAACCTCCTCAGGACAGTCAGTGAGCTGATTCACGGACGTGCCCACGGTGGGCACAGGGCAGCCACTCCCACGGTCAGGTGTGACAGAGGCGTCCCTAGATGACGGGGAGGGACCAGGCACACATCACGGGTACTGTCACTGCTTGGCTGGGGGCCCTCTCTAAGTCTCAGTTTCCCTCTCTATAAAGAAGGGAGAGGCCTAGATCTTTCCCTCGTTTGCCTACCTGAGCCAGCCCTGAAGTACGAAGAGGCGACCCAGGACCTGCGTGTGAATGCTGGCTCCTCCTCGCCCGTGGAGGGGAAAACAGCTCCCGGGCTGTTCCCAGGAGCATGGGGAGGGCAGACACTGTGACCTCCCTGAAGTGGTTTCACTTCAGCGAGGACAAGACAGGAATTTTCCTTGATCTCTTTACTAGGTGACCTTCAGGGTGACACAGCGAGATGCAGGCCATGGCCCAGGTCACCTGCACAGGCCTGGACTATGGGCCTGTTCCTTGTGCTGGATGCCGGGGAGACCAGCAGGGGAGGGAGAGAGCACCCCCAGGGCAGGCCTGGGCTCCCTGGACAAAGGATGCTCTCTGCCCCTGTCGGTCAGCAGGACCTGCCTTTGCCCCTCACCTGCTGAGGCTGTTTGGGCTCGTCCCTGGAAGGCTCGCCTGCCCTCCCACGGCGTTTGCTGTTGACACAAGCCCAGGCGTGAGATTGGAAGCTCATTTTTCCACGAGCTGAGGAGTCAGTGCAGCAGGCAGAGATCTGGGTCAGGGGATCGGGGTCCCAGTTTCAGCCTCGGCCTGCGAACCTGCCGGTGGGGATGGGAGCCTGCCTTGCGGCGTTGTCCTGGGACTAGCGCTGGTGTCCGCAAGGACCCCGCCCGTGGGGGCCCACATGACGGAGCTCCCTTCCCCATGGTTGGAAGCCAGGGCCAGGGCTGGTTTCCACGTGGCCTCCCAAGCCCGAACACCCGGCTTTTTGTCACACTCCTCCGAGGTTCTCCTGGTCGCAGCCTCTAGGCTGAATCAAAAGCAGAACCAGGCCCCCACGTCTTGTTTCCAGTTTTTAATTTTTTCTTGTAAAACCAAAAATATAAAACTGGCAGGGGAATGGAAAACAAGTTCTGTACATTTTATATACACGAGGTCTGTGATTTCAAAACCACGGGGCAGAGAAAGGGGAGGACACAATCAAGGGACTGTCACAGGGTCACGGATCCTGGCGGGCACCTCTGAGCGCCTGGCTCGGGCTCGGACAATCACTCCCCGGGCAGCGCTGGGCGCCGCTGCAGCAACGCACCCCTGCATTGGTGGCCTGGCTGCTCCGGCCGGATGCACGGAGCGTGGGAGCGGACGGCGAGTGGTGAAGCAGCTCCGCAGCGCAGGGCAGGCAGGCGTGGACAGCGGCTTCCTTCAGGTGTCCGCGTAGATGGAGGGGATGTGGCCCAGGCAGTGGTCAAAGGCCCCATTGGGGAAGAAGCCACAGTCCTCAGGACCGCTGGACACCACATCTTCAGAAGACTGCGGTGGCAGTGCCGTGGGGCATGCGGCCTCGGCTAGGGCCTCGTAGCCTGTGGGTGGGTGGGAGAGGGTCAGGGCTGGAGGACGGCGGCGTTTCCCAGGCTGCACCCTGCCTGCCCAGGGTCCCTCCTCACGGCGTCCCCTCAGAGGGGCCTGCTCCGAGCCCTCTGCTTTTCCAGATGGGGGAGCTGATCGATGGGGTGGGGAGGGGGCTTGGGAGGTGTCCTAGGCCTTGCGCACCCAGGGGGCCCAGGCCAGCAGGGAAGATAGGCACAGGCTGGCTTGGTGTGGTCCATCACCCAGGCCCAGACTGGGGGGCAGACTGGGGGTGAGGAAGGGTGGGGCTGCGAGTAACACAGCCTGTGCCCTCAAGGGTCAGTCCCCTCCTGGCAGAAGGACCCAGCTTACCCCCACTCCTTTGGTTTCCTCCTCTCCACTAGACTCAAGAAACCCAAAGGAGGGAAAGAGAATTTCCTGGGCACTTACTAAATGCTCATGCAAGCCTTATCTCACTTAAGCTTCACAATGATCCCATGAAGTAGGATTCATTATCCCATTTTAGAGCTGAGAAGGCAGGCTCAGAGAGGGCAAGACGCTTGCCTAAGGTCACACTGCCAGTAAGGAGGGGAGCTGGGACTTGAACCCAGGTCCCCTTGGCTCTGCAGATATCTGGCTCTTCCCCTGGACATGCTGTCTCCAGGGTAGGGTCACTGCTCAGAGGCCCTGTCCCTGAGCTGCTGTCATGAGCTTGTGTGGTCTAAGACAGGCCTCAGTTTTCCCATCTATGCAATGGGGTTGGGCTGAACTGTTCCAAGGCCCTACCGCCCCACCTGCCTGTCACAGTCTGGATTTAATGCTGTGTGTCTGTTCTTGGATTGACAGAGGAGGTGTGGGCAGCTGAGCCAGGCCAGGAATGGGCAGTGGGGAGAAGGGAGGCCAAAAGAACCGCCCCATCCTGGTGTAGGGGGCCCGCACACACGGGCGTATGGACACTGTAGTTGAACACAGGCACACACATGCGCACAAGCACGCTCCGCTGAAACAGCCCACATCGCAAACATGCACATACATGTCTGTGGAAACAGACACGAGTCATGGGGTGGGCAATGTGCACACAGACAGGGTACACGGACACCAGCACAGGTATGATATAAGTACACGTGTGCAGACATGAAAGAGTGTGCCCTGCAAGCTCCTTACACACTCACAGGGGCTCACACTGCCCAGAACCGCCTGTGCCACCCTACATGCTCAGCACACACAGACACATGAAGACAGACTACAGCCATGGAGCAGGTGAGGGGACATGGACCCACAGGGTCATGTGTGCCTACCTGAGGCCTCGGTGCCTGTCTCTATGTCCCCGTCCTTCCACCCCCGGCTGCACACCTCAGTGCTGCCCAAGGGGCCTCTGCGGCAGGCTGTCAGGCTGCACTCCGGGCTCCTGTGTGCCCCAGCTAGACCTGGGCCCTGCGGCTGTGCTGGGGGGCTTGGCTTCGGGAATTCAGGGTGAGTCCAGCCCGCCCATCTGGTGCCCCTGCTCTGACCAGGCCTCGCCCTGCTGGTCTGAGCCTGATCCCACCCCGGGCTGTGTGGAACACCCCCCACTCACTGGGCCTCTCTGCCCGAGCCAGGGGCCTCACCTGGGGGAGGCACAGGTGCGCCCAGGAAAAAGCACAACTCAGGCTCTGTCCCTGCCTACTTCCCTCATCTGTTAAATGGAAATCAGTATTTATTTCATTCCCTGCTACATCCCCAGGGCCTACACCTGTGCCCAGCACACAGTAGGTGCTCAATGTTCAGAGTGAGGCATTAATTAGACCACGGGCTCCCAGTCTGAGTCTTCGGAAACCCGCCAGGTCCAGACACATATAAGCCCTGCGAAGTTCTGGAAGGGACCCTGACTTGACAAGCAGGGAGCCAATCCTGGTTCTGTGGGCCTCCCTGAGCCTCTGTCTCCTTCTCTGCAAAGCGGTGATGACCCTGCCGCACAGGCTGTCCACAGGATGCAGGACAACGTGCACGAAGCACCCAGCGCGGGGCTGGGCCCGGGTGGTGTCGGGGCAGGGAGGCACGCGGGCAGGGCTCACCTGTGGCAGGCAGAGGTGCGCTGAGGCTGTGGTAGCCGTTGGGCCGCAGGGGGTTGAAACCGTGGGCTTCGCCGGCCAGTCCGTCCCCACCGGCTGCTGGCTCGGTTGTCCGGTAGCAGTCGCCGTAGGGGAAGCAGTTCTGGATGGAGTGGAAACTGCCCTGGTAGCCTGCAGAAGGAGGTGGCAGGGGCTGCGCTGACAGAGGGAAAACGCCCAGGGCAGGCAGGGGCCGTCCTCGCTGCACGGTGCAGCCCCCCGCGCGGTCCCGTCCAGGCAGCGTGGGTGCGATGCAGAGAAGAGCGCGGGGCAGAGCGGGCTCCAGCGTGCGGGGCCCTTTCTCAGCTCTGCCCCGCATGGGGTGGTGGGCAGGCGAGGGGTGGCTGAGACGGTCTCCTGTGGCTGCGCCTGCGTCATCTGTGGCCGACGCCAGTGCGCTGAGGGCGGGACAGTGGCCCTCCTACTCCTTCCGCACTCAGGCCCAGCATTCCCAGTCCCGCGTGGTCGCTCCAAGCCGCAGGCTCCCCCACCCGCCGCCACCGACGCTGTGCCCTCTGCTGACAATGCCCCCAGATGCCCTGTCCACAAAACAAACTCTTTCTCACTTTCCCGGAAACTGCCCCTGCCCAGGCCTTTTAGGTCACCTGTCTCCCAGCTTCTCCCAGCATGGCCCTCAGTGCCTGGCGCGTCATTCTCTGAGTACCCACCTGTCTCCCCCAGGCTGGTGTCTCATTCCTCTGGGGTCCCTGACCGGGAGTTGGGAGGGTACGGGGAGCAGCCCCTACCAGAGCTTACCTTGTGGGCTGGGCAGAGGCAGGGGCGGAGGGCTCTGGAAGGGCGGGTAGGACGGCTTGCTGGGGAGTGTGGAGAAGGGCTGGCCCCCAGGGGAATGGCTCTGGGAGGACGGTGGCAGCGGTGGTGGCCCGAGCCCCTTCAGTGGGCTGACCATGGGCGAGAGGAGGCCAGGCCCCAACCTGGGGAGAACAGAGACGGCCGTCAGCAGGGAGGGGGCTGCCGCTGCCTGTGCCCCTCCAGCAGCGGGGAGCCACTAGCTGACCTGCTCCCACTCACAGCACAGCAGTTAGAAGAGGAAGCTTTATTTCTGATTGTGCGCACATGGAAAATTTAAAACCCTGCGAGCATTAGAGTCTGGTATCTAGGGTTGATAGCCAGCAAGGAACAGAGGTAATAAGCGTGATCTCTGGAGTCGACACAACTGTGTTCAGACCCCTATCTGCTCTCATTGGCCAGGTGACTTTGGGCAATCTGCCTAACGTCTCTGAGCCTTGGTTTCTCGAAGGGCCACGTGCTCCCAGCTGGCACACTCCAGCTCTCATTACCAAGAGCTAAACCCCAGCCACCCTTGCTGGGTGCCGGGCGCTCTGCCTCTGTGCGTGCCACTCTGGCCTCCTGGTAGAAGCTCGGGACAGCCGCGCTGAGGGCCTCAGCGGTTCCTTAGCAGAACAGCTCACGGCATTGACAGTCACCATGCAGGGAGCCCCTGCCTTGCCCCAGCCTCGTGACACAGGTGTTCTTGCATCCTTTTTGCAGATCAGAAAACCAAGGTTCAGAGAGGTTTGTACAAGTCACTCCTGGCCACACAGCACTGACCTCATGAGCTACGGTGAGGGTAAAATTAAAGCAATGTAGATGAAGCACTCAGGATGATGACTGATACATTCTTAGCCACACCATCAATCATCATCATTGTTGCCAAGATGAAGGGAAGAAAAACTAGCAGGTGGGTCTGATACCCAAATTGGCCTTTTTTTCCTGCACAGTGTACTCTGAGGGACCTTCTCCTGTCTCCATCCCTGGCCATGTCTCCTCCACTTGCATCCCTCCTGTGATGGGAGGCTCACTACTTACAGTCCTACAGCTCCTGAGGGGATGTGGGCCCAAGGCTGTGCTCTTTGGAAGCTCATATTCTGAAGCAAGACTGCAGCAGCTGAGAGCTCTCTGCAGGCACCCTGAGCCCAGCCCAGCGCAGCCCGAGTGGGCAGTCTAACTGGACTGCACATCGCTGCAGATGGAGGTCCCCTCCTCGCGCTGCCTCCTAAGCCTGCCGGGCCCTGCTCACAGGGAATAAAATGACTTTCAGATCGGCTGGGCTTGGGGGCTCTTGGGAACCAGGCCAGAAGCTCATAGCCTATAAAGTCTTTCCGCAGTGCAGAAAGACAGAGGGAGAGCTGAGTTTCTATTTTCTTGTTTGGATCTGTGGGTTTGTTGGACCCCACATTAAAATATACTGCAAGTCCCACGTCACAGCTCCAGGTGGCCTTGTCAAGCTAGGCATGCGACCCTCACCCACTGTCTTGAGACGTGAGGTGTTAACGGACAGATCAGTGCCCCTCTCTGAGGGAAGGACTGTCTGGAAATGGAGAAGGAGATACGGGGAGAGGTCAGGGCTCCATGTCTGCAGCTGGGCCAGGTTCGTCTCTTCTCCCTTCCGCCTGGGCAGCCTGTTGTCACTGCCCCTCCTCTGTGCTATCTGGGACCCCATTACTGTGGACTTGCTGGGGGCAGGGGAGGGGGTGCTCTGTAGTGGGCCCCTGGCCCAGCAACTAACGCACTATAGGTCCATGTCACCCTTGTAAGTTTGTGAACTGAATCCTCATCAAGTCTCCGTGAAAGAATTATCACCGCCATCATCATTATTTTTAGGCCTGTCTCACAGGGCCATCAAGTGGGACGGGTCTACCTCTGCACTATAAACTGTGGAGGGCTGTGCACAAGCCAGCTGTCCTCATTACCAGTTCTCCTGGCTGGAGCTGGGCTGAGCATGACTGGGACAGCGGATCCTCCTTCCTCCAGGCACGCTGTGCGGCGCCTGCCCATCCCCATCCCAGCGGGGGCACCCGCCACCCAGCTCTCCCCTGGTTTCCCATCGGCCCCTCCCCGGGAGCTGCTGCAGGGGGGGCCAGGTCTTGGCCCCTCTCGGTCACTGTGTGCCCAGCACCGGGCCTGGCACACTGCAGACAACCGATAACACTAACAAACGGGTTTCTAACCTCTCAGCTACAAAACCCAGAGAGTAAAGCATCGCAGAATTAAGGAGAACCAGATCTGAAAGGGAAAAACACGCATTTTCCAAGTTTGTTTTTCCTGTCTCAACCCTGCCATAAATTCGCATTTGCCACCTTCACAGCCAGTGAAATTAAACAGAACACGACTATCCGCAGCAGACGTGGAGGCTGAGGTTACGCCGCTCTACCTGAACTCTTTAAAAGGAAAAAAGATCATCTGGAGCTCCTCTTCTGAGTCATGCAAATGATTCCTAAATCAAATATTTTTGCTCCAATTGGAACCTATAAAAATTAATATAAAACCTCACTGGCCTGGCAGACTGAGAGCTTCATACCTCGCATAGGGCTGGGAAAAAAAATACCCTATTCAGCAACTCCTCTGAGCCAGGATAAATAAATTTGGTCATGAAGTCAGGCCCTCTTAGCATATTTTGAGTGAATCAGATAATTCTGTCAAGCTATTTAAACGTCCCAGCAAACCACTGGGGAGCCACGCGTGGCCGTTCCCTGTTGACTTTGGCAGGAGGGGAGGCTGAAGGCCTTCTCCCCGGCTCTCTTCTCAGGGGATGAAAACAGAAACCCATTCAGGCTGGGCCTGGGCCTGGTGTCAGGCACGAGGGCCCGTCTCCTGCGGCTGGAGGAGCTGGGCGCCTCGCTGCTCAGGATGACTCAGGGCCCTGCCGCGGCCAGGGGTGGGCCGGCAGGTTGGGGGTCCCGTCTTGTCGTCACTCTGCCTCTCACAGCAGAAATTCTTGACGGGCACTTAGGCAGGCGGCAGGCAGGTGATGAGCGAGGCGGGACAGAGAGCACAGGCCTGGGCAGGGAAAGGCCTCTGTGCTTTATTTTCCTTTGGTTGGAGGTGTTTTTAGGTTGGCTGGTGGGTGAGCAGGTGGCCTGAGGGGGTGGGTGGGGGCCGGGGGCCAGTGTCGGTGGAACTCGTACCAAGTGACACATGCAGTGTCAGGCACGGGTAGCTGACCCTCACCACCTTCCTAGAGGAGGGTTTTTAAATGTCTTTTACAGAAGAAGAAACAGAGGCTGGGGGAGTGGCGGGCTTTCTGGTTCCCTGTGCAGCCCGTTCAGGGCTCTCTGCCCACACGTGCGCGCAGCCACCATCTCCCCCTGCCCCGAGAGCGGTCCCTGTGCACAGCCAGGGCTCATCCCTGATGCCCGCCTCGCCCTGCCCAGCCAGGGTTCCCCGACTCCTGCTCGTTCTGTGTCACCATCGCCTTCCACTGTTCCTCCTGCCACCCTGGACCTGGCCTGGCTCAGGATGCCATCTGGCACCCCACCTTCCATCCTGCACCCTAGGATCCAGCCCTGTGCTGCAGGCCCCAAACCTGACCCCGTCACTGCTCAACACCCTTCAGGATAGACTCCCATCCCAGGCCTTGTGATCGAGCCCTGGTGACCTCTCTCCCAAGTGCGTCACCCCATAGGATGGCTCATGTTTCCCAGGACATACCAGGCTCTCGCCAGCCCACCTCTGCCCTTGCTGCTCCTTCCTTTCTCCCAACCTCTCCACTTGCCCGACTCTGATCTCACCTCGGAGGCCGGGCTCAGCATCACCTCCTCCAGGAAGCCTTCCCTGACATCCTCCCCTAGCCCATTCCCTGGGATCTCTTCTGGGCTCCCACAGCCCTTTCTGCTTCCTCCCCTCCGTGTGGCCAGTCTCTGCAGGCATGTCCGTCTCCCTCGCACGGCAGGCTTCTCCAGGGGCTCCATGACTGCGCACTGAGTGAATGGATGGATGAATGGCAGGAGGAGCCTGGGTAGGAGCAGTGGGCCACAAATTTGGTGACAAAGCCAGGCTGGCCCCAGGCACAGGCAGGCCAAGGCCGAGGCTGTGGCCTTGAGGAGGAAGGGCAGGGAAGGAGGAAGGTGCTGGGGCCAGGCCTTGGGGAATAAGTTTGATCAAATCACTGCTGATGTCAAGCAGAAAAGGCAGGGAGGGCAGGCAGGCAGGGCTGGGAGGCCTCCTCCCGCTCATTTGCAAGGAAAACCGATTTCAGCAGCATTAGGGGCCAGCAATTAACACATTCACCATTTCCAGCCACTTAAGTGGCCACAATGAGAACCACATTGAACACAGGGAGAGGCTGCCCCTCTCTGCAGTGATCCTGCAGTAAAGCCTCCCACACAGCCCCAGCAGACCAGGCGACGGCCAAGGCTGCAGCGGCCAGAGACGGGGGTGAGGCCCAGGCCAGCACCCCTGGAGCGGACAGTGGGCAGTCTGCTCACCCCGTGCCTGGATGAGCCAAGGAGAAGCCAGAGTGAGCCCCGAGGAGGCCTGGGGTTGGGTGGGGAGCACAGCATCTTCCCAGGGTCCCCTGCGGGGGAGAAGAGGGTACATGAAGTAACGAGTTCGGAAGCCTGGGCACCAATACTACCTACCTCGTAGGGTTACTGTGAGGCTCCAATGAAACTGTGCACAGAAAGAGTTTACAGCACAGTATGCAGTAAGTGCCCAATAAATGTAGGCTGTTTTCCTTATCAATAACAACCAGATAGTGTGTGGGACACTTGCCCTTGCCTGCCTCCCACGCAGGTGCCCACCTGCTGCTCCTGGAGGAGACTGGCTTGGTGTGGTGTACATACCCGTCCCTGGTGCTCTCAGCCATGGGCAGAGGGGACAGATGGTGGTGGGGACCGGTGGTGGCGTCCAGCGGGTGATGCCTGGAACGGACGTCATGCGTGGGGGGCAGGATGCCTGATGCGAGCCCGTTGTGAGGGGTGATGGAGCCGGGATACACACCTGCAGGGAACCAAACAGATGTCACTGGACTTTGGCCATTCCCTAGAGATGACTGTGGACAGCCCAGGAGCTGTGTGTGCCTGATTATGGAGAAAGACAAGAAAGAAAATGAGCAAGGTTGTATTCATAGAAGTTTAGGGGCAAAAATGAGGGAGGTGATGGCCCCACTCTGCTCAGTTCAGCCCTGGCTAAAGGGCTGTGTCCACAGCTGGGGCCCAGCCTGACAGCAGAGGTGGACAGCAAGGGACTGGCAGAGACATGGGTTGTCACGCCCTGTGTGTGTGGGGGGGTGCATGTATGGAGCATGTGCTTCAAATCTCTATGGGGTTGTTCTGGAAAAGAAGAGGCTTATTTTGTAATACCCCAGAAGCAGATGGGGACCCAGGAATGGAGAGAAGCTTGAGAGAAGCAGACACCAGCTCAGGGCTTGGCAGTATCTTCTAACAGGCAATGTTGCTACAGGGAAATGGGCTGCCTTTGCATAGAATAACTATCCAGCCCCAGAGGTGTGTAAGCAGAGCCTGGGTGCCCACTGTGAAGGGTTCCAAAGAGAGTGACTGTACTAGCTGGATGACAGGCTGGCTTAGAAGACCTCTGAGAGGGCTGCCATGGATGGTTGTACAAGCTGTACACTGCACAAGGGTCCCAAGTGAGGAGAAGAGTCAACCGTGCTCTAGCTCAGATTCTAAACCTTCAGAAGATACCTGCAGGGGGATACCTTTTATCACCTCTTACCCCCAAGGATTGTACCCTTGTTAAGAAGACAGATGGGGCCGGGCGTGGTGGCTCACGCCTGTAATCCTAGCTCTCTGGGAGGCCGAGGCGGGCGGATTGTTTGAGCTCAGGAGTTCGAAACCAGCCTGAGCAAGAGCGAGACCCCGTCTCTACTAAAATTAGAAAGAAATTAATTGGACAACTAAAAATATATAGAAAAAATTAGCCGGGCATGGTGGCGCATGCCTGTAGTCCCAGCTACTCGGGGGGCTGAGGCAGGAGGATTGCTTAAGCCCAGGAGTTTGAGGTTGCTGTGAGCTAGGATGACGCCACAGCACTCTAGCCCAGGCAACACAGTGAGACTCTGTCTCAAAAAAAAAAAAAAGAAGACAGATTGGCTAACACATCTGTTAGAATGGGGGACACAAGGCCAGAGTTAGCTCTGAGGGCCCAATTAGGGGTTTGGGAGTTACTGAGGCCAGCCTTCCCCAAATGCCTTCACCAAGGAACCCTAATCTCAGGGGAGAACAAACTCCTACTCTGGGACTCTGTGGACTGGGAGCTGTGCCCACCATGATGCAGTGCCCACCCTGGCCAGCTGTTACACTTGAATATTACTCTGGTTACCATGGATCCAGGCCCAGTGCTCTTTATCACGCCATAAGGACCAGTCTGAGAACAACCAGCCTCCTTTCATGGACAGGGTGAGGGAGGAATTGCATCTTCTCAACTGGTTGCAGTTCCAAGGCTAGTCCCTCCCAGGCTGACCCGGCCTGCATTTCAGGAGGCTGCTACAGGAACTGAGCAGGGTGCTGGCAGGGACTCCAAGCTCAATGCCTTAGGCGGCATGGCAGGGAGCAAAATAAGTGAAACTCTAGGGATTCACAGTAGGAAGCAATGAGGACTGGTGAAGTGGAGGGAATATGGCCCGTAAGGGCCTTTACATCGAAACTGTTAGAAAAGCAAAAACCACACAAAAATAACCTCCATAGTGCCTATGAGACCAAATGGTTTGCAACCGCTGGCCTGGAGTTCGAGCACAAGCACCCTATGTTACATTAGGCGAAATTCTACTCTTACAACAATAATTACCGCAACTAAGAACGCGCTACGTGCCAAGCTCTTTCTCCACAGTATCTTGCTTAACCATCTCGACGACCGTCAGTGGCGGAGATAATATGATCCCATTTTAAGACGAATAAACTAAATCTCAACAAGTGACTCGTCCAGAGTCACAGAGTGGGCAGCTAATCAACCTGTCTTCCCAGCAGCAGGGAAAGAAAGTGCACTTGAGGCCCGGGCCAGGAAGCGGCGCAGGCTCCTGCTCAGGTCGTGGTCTGGATGCCGGCCAGGGCCTCTGTCCCGGGCAGGCTCTCAGGCACCCACCAGCTCTCGGCCCCAGGCCCGGCCCTCCCTGCCTCTGGAAGCTTCTCTCCCAAGGGCAGTACCACCTGTCCCCAGCCACTGCCGCCCGGGGCCACACAGCGCTCCCCCACGTGGGGGAAGTCACCCGAGGGGACTTCTGTGGGGGGAGCCTGGCTCGGTGCTGCTCAGGGCTGTGCCGCTCACCGCTGTCCTCAGCACCTCACCCGCCATGTTGAACCCACTGGGGGCCCGACAGCTGGGAAGGCCCGGAGTCCTGACAACTCCCGCTCCCTCTCCCTCGGCCACGCTGACCTCGTGCTGCACATGTTCTCACTGCCCACCACGTCACCCCGGTCTGCTAAGGACGGCCTGCCCGACACCCTCCCCAGGGTTTCCTATGAAGAAGGGAGCGGGTGCTTCCCGTGAGACAGGCTCGGGGGAGCTTCCTGTAGCCAGACAAGGAAAATTCGACGTCTCCCTCTCCCGCTCCTCCCTCGCCCTCACCCTTCTGTTCTGGACTCTTCTAACCCTGTTTCCGCGCCTCTGCCCTCCCTGGGTCCCGGGCCCTGCCTGCACAGTGCCCCCACCCGAGAACGGACACACCGTGGGCGACAGAGTGTGTATAGGAGGGGTGTTGACCATGTAGACAAGCGCTGGACGGGGATTAAGGAATTGCCAGACTGCGAGGGGCAGTGGGAGTGGGGACGCCGGGGGGTGATGGGCTCACCCCAAAACATACTACTCAGGCTGTAAAGCAATACCCTCAATCATCAGCCGTGAGCGCGTAACCTCTGGCCCTAACATCTGTTCCCAGCTGTGCCTCGGGCATCTGTCTGTCCTGTGGCCTGCAGGAGAACCTGGCAGGTTGGAGTCTGGGGGATCCAGGACCCCTGGTTGTGCCTGGCAGCAGCTCAAGGACAGGGACCAGCACGGGGTGTGGCACACGGCAGGTACTCGTAAGCAGAGGAGTAGCGTTAGCAGCAGGGAGGCAGTAGACTGGTTAAGAGCACAACCTGCAGCCAGAGGACTTGGGTTCAAATCCTGCCCCTGCCACTTGCCGGCCATGGACAGCATGTACCTTGTGAGGCTGACCTGAGGATGGCGGCAGTTACCACACACGTGCTCAGTCCCTGAAGCGGCGCCCAGCACGTATTCAACGAACGCTGGCTGCTGCGTTATTGTAAGAGGGCTGAGTGAACAGTCACCCTTCTCATTCACCATGAACGACGACAATAGTAATAATGGTAAAAGAAAAGTCACATAGGATTCACGTAACTGATCACATCCACAGTCATATTTGTTCTCATGGGAGGTTTGTGAGGGAAACTGAGGCTCCAAGCAGGGAAGGCACCACTTACTCGCCGTCACAGGGCAAGCGTGGCAGGTCCCGGCAGGTGTGGCCCTCCAACCTGTGTAGGTGCCTCAGCGGATTCTGTTGACACTTCCGCAGGAGTGGTTGGGGGTCGCATGGTCTGGATGATGTCTGCAAAGTGACCAGCCGAGCAGGTGCTCGAGGGATGGTTATTGCTGGCCTTGCCCCTTCTCCCTGGGACAGCCCTCGGCTGCCATCTGGGAGTATAGGCGTCCCCCCTGGACTGCTGCTGACTTCTCTGGATGACCTTGGGGAAGTCCTTGTCCTGCCCAGGCCTAGTGCTCCCGAGCAGAAATGGTGGGCCTCGCCCTGGGGGCAGCACTGCTCATCAGCTGCAGCCTCTCTCCTGCTGAGTGAGGAGAACCCCTCTCAACATAGACTCCAAACTGTCACTGCCTGTCGCTGGGAGCTGGCACTTGAGGTACCTTCATCCCTGGGCTAGATCAACCCCATGGTCCCTTGTAGCCCTGCCATGTTAGCAATTCTGACCCCATGAGAAGCAGCCCCCACACAGGGGTCCTCTAGCTGGAGAGGGAGAGTGTGACCCCTTCCTCCACAGCACCCATCGTCCTGAGTGTCCTCACCCTCGTGGGCCTGTCTCAGCACAGACCCCCGTGCAGGCGGCCCATGAGAAAGGGTAAAAACCTTCTCTTCCTGAGGCTGTTTGGCAAGTGCTTTGATATATTTTTAAATCTGCTGCTACTTCAACATTGAGGGGAAAGAATAAGAAATTAGAAAATAAAAAAATGTCTAAAATGGTTGGAGTAATTTAAGAAATCCCAGAGGGTGCGCAGAGCTTTCTGTCTGATACTGTGGTTTCTCTAGGGGGAGCAGGGGGGAGTACGAGCATTGTCAGCTGGAATCCAAAGGCCACACTGCCCTTATCTGGGCTGGATTCCCAGGCCGCAGAGCCAGGAATTCCTGCCGTGGCCTGAGACCTGCCCCGTGGCCCACAGCTGCTGGGAGGGACGGACAGGCCGCCTCCGCTGGACCAGAGTGTCTGGATGGATGGACCTGCAGGGACCTGGGGGCTCAGGGGGCCCCACCCTGGGCCACAGAGTTCAGTGCTGAGCTGGAAGTGATTTTGGCCAAGTTGCCTACCCTCCCAGAGTCTCAGTTTCCTCCTCTGAAACGGAGTCCTGGTGGGGCTTAAGCAGGACTTTGAGCCGAGGCCGGGTCAGAAATGGGCTCTTCTTGAAGGTGGTTCCTGCCTGTGGATGATCCTGGCAGCGCGTGCCATCGGGAGGGGCTAGGTCTCACACCAGGGCACCGCCGCCTCTCCTCGTTATGCTTAGGGCAGGGCCACATGTTCCCCCAGCCTGGCTCTGCGTACGTCCCATGCTGGGTGCCGATGACTGTGGGATGAGGCAGACCCTGGCCTTGCCCTGGAGGAACTCAGGGAGACAGGGGGAGACAGACGGGAAACAGAGCAACAGCCCAGAGGAAGGCTTCCTGGAGGAGGGGGCCTAGAGGTGGGTGCTGAAGGAGGGGCAGGAGGAATAGAGGCTGGCAGGGTGTGGACAGTGGCCTGGGGGTGAGAGGGAGCAGAGAGTATTCATGGAACTGCATCCAATGTGCCAAGGTCGGGGCAAGAGGCCACCAGGAGGGCCCAGGCCGAGGAGTGCGGGCTTCACCCCATGCGCCGTGGGGAGCAGCAGGAGAGTGAGGGGACATCTGCCTTGTTAGGTGAGCAGCAGAGAGAAGACGGGTTGAAAGTGGGGAGCCACAGGCAGAGAGGCAACTACATCCGACAAGTGGCTGCCCATGTCGGTGGCCCACGGAGCATCCCTGTTGTCCTGGAGGCACTGCTGGCAGAGAAAGGGCCCTCCCGGAGCCCATCCTGCCCCTGTGCCCCTGGCCCGGCCTCCCCGCACACATACCTGGGAGCAGCTCCGGGGCTGGGCCGCCCTTCCCGTCACTGGCAGCCAGCTGTGTGGCCGCGTGGAGCTGCTGCAGGGCCAGACACTCGGTCAGGACATCGGCCTCCGTATCAGGGCCCACGTGCAGCTGGGAACAAGCAGAGGGACACGGGTGTTCGCGTGAGAACGCCTGCCCACTGCGACCCTCACTTTAGGGGACAGGGAGGGAAGCGCAGCAGCCCCAAGACCTTTCTTGTCACCGTGCCTCAGTTTCCTCACTTGTAAGACGGGGCTAATTACATATATTGTAAAGACCATGTTAGCCCGGGGCCTTTGAGAAGCAGACGCCGAGATGGGATTCAACATGTAAGGATTTTAAGAGGGGACGTGCCTGCATGAGAGAAAGCAAGGCTGGGCTGGCCCTGGACCAAGGAAGGAGGGAGGGAAAAGAGGCTGGGTGGAACCTTCCTAGACTGGGATTCGGGGACTCGGGGAGTCCGCAGGGAGCCAAAGCCTGCTGACTGACCTCAGGGGAGTCCTGTGTCCCCTAGGAGGGGCTGCCTCAGTGTCCCTGCTGGGCCTGCCATAGCCAGTCACTGCCAGGGCAGCCTGTGGGAGGCATGGCCTCAGCACAAACACTGAGGTGGCCAGCAAAGTGCAGCAGTGGGCCCTCCCGGAGGTGGCTGGAGGGGTGTGAGGTACATTCTGTGGCGGCCACCCGCTGAACTGATGCATGGGAGTGAAATGTAGTAGGTACGCATAGGTATGCAGTAGGTATGCATAGGTATGCAGCAAGCGCCTCTCCCTCCTCCCTCCCTCATGCCCTGTGCGCCATCTTTCTTCCTTCTGGGTAGAAGGTGCAGTGCGAAGAGTTCAGGGGACAAGAGCTGGGCTCAAATCCCATTCTTTCCCTGTGTGATGTTGGACAAATAACTTGACCTCTCTGGGTCTTGCCTACCTTGCCCGTAATTAGCAGCAATGGTCATGCCTCACACAGGCTGCCGAGAGCAGTGATGAGATGATGGACGGGGACACGGTTTGTGAGGTGCTGTGTCCAGGGCTGGCCGAGCCCCACCTGGTCACCCCATAGTGGGCAAGATGGATTGGCACGTGGACTTGAGGTCGCTTGGCTGACAGCGAGCTGGGCTGGGATGCTCCCAGCAACCCGGGCAAATCTTTGGCCAACAACCCTTGGCTATCTCCAGAGACAGTCACCTCAGAACGCCTTCACCTCCCCAGAGCCAGGATGGGGATGGCGAGGCCCTCAGGATATCGGGGAACGAGGGGGCAGGCACATGGACGGGCTTGTTCAAATGCTCGCCTTAAACAGACCCAGAGAAAACAAGAGCCCAGTCCCACGTCACACAGCAGTTGAGTGTCAGCCCCGAGGGGTTTTCCACCCTCCCAGGGCAGCAGGGCCGGGACCCAGGCCCGGGGAAGGCAGGCCCAGCCTCGAGATGGGCTCGCGGCTCCCTGACCCAGCAGCTGTTTTCCATGTAAATTAAGTTTCTGGCAAAAGAAGGCCAAGGCATGTTCTTGCAGACCACAATGTCGATCGGATTAGGAGCAGCAGGAGAGGAGAATTAAGGAAGAAAAGCATTTCTAATTCTCTCTGAAACGCAACAGGGCTGCCAAGGAGTTGTCAAAATACAAGGGTCGCTTTACCCAGAAAGATATATCATCTCCGATGGCTTTTAATGGATGCTTATTGTTGGGAAGTTTGCAGATTTGCTGCCCCAAGTCCCTGGGGGCCCAGTGTGAGCCAAACACGGGGCCTGGGAAAACGAGGGCAGGGTTCCGGTCCTTGGGCACTGGTCCGCTTGGGACAGAAGCCTCCCTGGCGTGGAGCTCCAGCCTACTGAAGCCTTGGCCATTCCCTGTACCCACTCAGGCCCTGGAGACAGAAGGGTCTGGGATGGGACCCAGTTCTGTCACTCCCAGGCTGCATGGTTCTGGGCTGGTTTGTTAACTATCTGAGCCTCAGTTTTCACATCTCTAAAATGGGAATGAAAATAGACATTGCACCCCTAGGCTTACAGTGAGGACTAAATGAGACATGGGGCGTGAAGGCCCAGGTGCAGTGCCTGAGCCGTGGAGGTAACTGCGTAAAGTTCACCGCCCTTCTCAGGGGGAACATGGAGGCAGCATTTCCACCAGGGGCTCGCCGTGCAGGCTTTGCCCACGTCCTTCCTCTGATCCACAGCGTCCTGCAGGATGGAGACCAATGTCCCAAGCCTGGCTGTCTCCTTCCAGTGTCTTTCCCACTGAGGCCTGGCTGGCGCCAGTACCCTACTGCTGCCTCCCCACCCCATGGGCCTAAAGTAGTCTGCGTCTCCAGCCTGTAGGCCCCTGGCCTGCTGTACTCATGCCTGTGTCCACAGCTCTCCCAGTGCTTGGAATACAGTGGCTGCTCCAGAAATCTTACTGGCCCCTGGTGTTTCTTTCATCCCCACGCCCTCCCCGGCATGCAAGGGCCCCCACTCCCACGGCCCCCGGTGGCCCTCGGCAGACGTGAGTTGAACCCAGCCAGGTGGGCTCAGCCCTTAGCTGTAGTCCCGTCCCGCTGTTTTCTCCTGCTGACCTGCTTCTTAAAGAGTCTCTGTCCTGGTGAGGGGCACCACCATCCTGCTTCCAGGGTTTGGCACTAGGGCTCCTGGCCAGCCCCTCCTCCTCCTTCCCGCTGCATGCCAGGCTGGCCCCTGCATCTCTCCTGCTCCCCAACCAACCCCAACCCATTCTCCACGAGGTCCCCAGAGCCAGTCGTCTCTGAAGGCCACAGGTCCCTTCTCTGCGTAAGATCCCTCAAGGGCACCCACCAAGCTCAGGACAGAGCCCTACCCAGGCCCCCTCTCCTCACTGTGCTGCTCAGACCCAAGACAGATGAACGCCTGCTGGTCCCACACACGCAGGTTTCAGGCTTGCTCAGTGCCGGTCACTCTGGGCTATACTCTTCTCACCTGAATTCACCTGCCCAACACTTGTCCTTCCTTAAGATTCATGAAAATATGCACCAACTTCTGTCCTGAGCTTTAAATTTGTACGAGGGACAGTTCTAAACCTGAAACATAAATTTACTTATTTACTTCTCACGGCAGCTGCTGAAAGCAAGTCCTTCCTTGCCCCTCTGCCAGTTGAGGGACCTGGGCACACAGGTGCTAAGGCCCTTGCCCAGGGCCACAGAGCCAGCAGTGGTGCCCGTGGGTCCTGTGCTCACGCCTCTGACCTGCACCCCTGCCCCTGAGTCACAGCTTCCATGGACCCCCTGCTCCCACCCAGAGGGGCTAAGGCGCCCTTATCTGTGCCCCTGACTATTCTGCACACCTCTGTTGTCACCGTTATGATAGGATATTGGATCATCTTGTTACATCCGCCTCTTGCCACCAGGCGATTGCAAGTGGGGACATGCTTTTTGATTTTTGCATCTTCCGTGTCCAGCACAGGGCTGGACATCAAACGTCCACCGCACAAGCCGTGGTGGGTGGGCAGATGGGTGGGAAGGGGAGCTGGTGGGTGGTCTGTGGTAGTAAATGTCTAGCTGGGGGTGACGAAGGAAGGGCTGTGGGTCTGCAGATACACTCAGGGACCAGGTGGGAGGTAGATGGACAGACAGACAATGGACAGTGGCATTCTTAGGGTATGGATAGGTGGATGCGTGCAGGGAGTGTGGGCACCTGGCCTGACTCTGGACGGGCGGCTAGGAGGCCAGGGTGTCTGCAGAGAGTGCCAGGCCAGGAGAGCTCTTACCTTCTTACGCACCTGCTGCTCTTTGGCCGAATGGGCCTTTACGTGCTTGCGGAGGGAGCTGGGGTCCGTGTAGCGCTTGGAGCAGCCAGGGATCTGACAGGCGTACGGCTTCTGTAACATCAGGGGCACAGGTGGGGTGAGTGGGGGCCGCCCTCAGGGTCAAGGTCCTTCTGCATGACCTGGTGGGGAGGATGACTGGGCGAGGGGCTGGCTGTGGGCCAGGAGGGGTGTGACTTGGCCAGCCCTGCCCCCAGGTGTGGCCTGCTAGCAGGTGCCTGGCCTGGGAGTGGAGGAAGGGGCTCGTGTCTCCGTTCTCCCACCCTGCTGGGACCTCAGGTGAGTTCCTCCTCTCTGTGAGTCTCGCTTTTTCCGCTGCAAAACGGAGCCAACCTAGTTCTAAGGGTTCTTCCAGCTCAGACCCTGGCTCTCAGAAAAGTCCGCCCTTTGGATTCTATAGCTGCAAAGCAGCGGCGAGCAGACAGGAGTAAAGTGAGAAGGCTCCTCGGAGAGGAGAGGGCACGGCACAGGGCAAGGGGGCAGACACGGGCCAGGGAGGGACTGATTACACCTCGCAGGTGGGTCCAGAGTCCCCAGACTTCTCTGTGGGCCACGAGAAACCCAGGTCCTCCTGCCGACAACCTTGGGGCCAGAAGGGAGCTGGATCTCAGAGACACAGGCCTAGGGAGGCTGGGGGCTGTGTCCTTTGTGTGGGGAGTGGACGAGCCCCTTCCTTGTGGGCCCCATTGCTCATCCAGAACATGAGAAGTGGGCCCCAAATCTTTCCCACTGCCTCTGCCTGCATTCCCGCCCCAGGCTCCAGCCTGTGCATGGGGCCTCCGATCTCCCCACACTCTCACAGCCAGAGGGCCTTTTCCACAGATGGGCTCTGCTCCTGCCTTCTGAAAACCCCTCAGTGGCTCCCTGGTGCTCTCAGAACACAGGCCATATCTAGGCATCCAGGGCCCTCTGAGGCTTGGGCCTTGCTGGAGTCTGTACACCTCCTCCTGTCCCACCACAGGACTGGCCTTGTCCATCCCGCCCAGCCCATGTCACCTCCCTCCAAGCCCCCCTCCTCGATCTTCCAGGGCTGAGCTGAGCTCCATGGGCCGAGCTTCCCACCCACGACAGTGCGCACCCGGTGCTGCAGCAGGAGGGACCTGTCTGACTCATGCCAGGTCTCCGAGTAACCCAGGCCAGGGCACTCTTGTCTCTGAGTTCTGATCTCTCCCAAGGGGCTCCCACAAGACCCTGTCGGGGACTCAGCCACTCCTGGGGCTGGAGGTTCACAAGTTTTCCCCTTTGAGCACATCTCATGGTTCTGACCTCTCAGGACCCTCTCTCCCCTGGGACTGTAGGGGACAGGAGAGCGTTTGGAGGAAATGACTCCTCTCAGAGTAAGTACCAGGGACTGCGGTGTCCCACGTGGAGCTGCCCCCGCAAACTTCAAGGCAACTCTGCCCCTGCTGGACCGAGGAGAGGCCAGTCTGACCTTGGACCCGGGGAGAGGTGCCCATGGCCCAGGGACCCTGTAGTGGGGGAAGCAGAGAGACGACCATACCTTGGTGCTGCCTCGGAGGGTTGCCAGGTAAAGGATGGAGAAGAGCAAAAAGAGAGAGACAGAGCGGTGAGAAGCTTGCCTCGCCGTGAGGGAGGCCCGGGAGGGAGGGCTGAAGGCCTGTCTCCGCCCGCCCCCCGCCCGCCCCACTCCACCATGCCAGTCTCTCTCAAACGCACACGGGGCCCTACCCTGCCCCTGAGCTGGCCCCGAGCCCTGTCCCTTAGGGAGGCTGGTACCTTTCCACTGCTTTTGTCAAAAAGCGAACACATAGGGCTCGCGTACGCAGGCGCGCTTGCTGGAGACAAGGCAGCAAGGCCCGTCTCCGTGTTTGTTTTTCCGGGGCCTGACGTCTATAGAACACTCCTCATGCCCCGCTCCCCCATAAGCCCTCAGGAAACCCCGTGGCTGTCCCCAGAGAGCAGCCAAACCCCAGGCCTGGAGTCACTGCACAGGCGCCAAGGCCAGGGCCACCTTCCTCTCGTTAGCGTCAAGGATGCGCCTCGACGGGCCAAGCAGAGCCCTCTGGACCTTGCTCCCCGAAGAGCTCCTCGCTGAACGCCCGCATGCGCAGGCTCTTTGCTAAGCACTGGCCACCCGTGATCTCCTCTGAGTCCCACATGCACCCCATGGGAATCGTCCCCACTTTGTGGATGAAGAAATCGAGGCTGATGTTTTGCCCGAGATCTCAGAGCAAGTGAGAGTCTGTACATGACACCGCCTGGATGCTTCCTTTTGCCTGCAGCCATGAACCGTCCCGCCAACGGTGCAAAGGGGACAGATCATCACCCCACCCCATCATGCCAATGGGGAAACTGAGGCCCAGAGCAGGACAGTGGCTTATTCAAGTCCACACAGGCAGTCTGTGGCAGTCAGGACTCAAACTCACATCGACAGCCTGGGACCTGGCAGGACCTGGTCAGGTCTGAGTCAGCAAGAGGACAGGCAGGGAAAGGCTGCACAGACCGCGCGGGAGGGAGGCGTTTACCTCTAAGGAGGCCCAGGGAGGCCGGGTGGCTTTCCTTAGACCTCTGGGACCAGGAGGCAGGGCCAGGGTTAGAACCTGGGTCCTCTCCAGCCTGCTCAGAGAAACTTTCCTGCGGGTGGAGAGAAACCCATGTTCTCTGATGCCAGAGGGGAACTGGGGACATGGCTGGGTCCCCTCTTGGGGCCTGACCCACTGGGCCTGTGAGGGGCGGGTGCTGGGGCAGCAACCTAGCAACACAGAGTGTCTGTGGTGTTTATATGGGGAGCTGGGTACAAGTGGGTGCTGGGCTCGGTGGCCTCCCGGGGACATCTTGGGGAGATGAAGGCCTGAGATAACTCTGTGGGCTCATTCTGGGCCTGACCCGACCTAGGCCTTGGAGCTCTGTTCACACACCAAGTAGGGGCCAGAGGCCTGTTGCTTTGGGGCTGGGTCCAGGAAATGCAGTGAGGACGGAGGGAGGAAGAGGGTGAGTCAGAGTAGGTGGCCCGAGAGGCCCTGCAGGGTGGGGAGAGGGTGCAGAGGGGCCTGGTGCTGTCGCTGCTGCCTGTGGCCTCCGGGAGACGTAATCATGGGTGCTGGCGCCCAAACCGTGCCTCTCAGCGCCTGGGCCAGGGTGTCGAGGGCCCCAAGGGCTGGGAAGGTAATGAAGGGGCAGGGGATTTGTCGGAGCCACTCCTCACTTCATTCCCCCAGCACGGCCTGTGACAGTGAAGTCTGGAAGGGAGGGGAGTTGGGTTCAGCCTGGGGACAGGGCTCTTCCTTGACACCCTCATCCCCTCTGCTCAGCTCCCCTCCCCAGGGCAGCTGCCACATCAGCTATCCCAGCAAAGAGCACTGGACTTGGAGTCAAATAGCCCTGGGTTTGCATCCAGCTCGGCCAGGCACCCACTAAGGACAGGTCAAATAACTCAGTCTCTCTGAGTCTCAGCTCCTCTGTTTACGAAGTGGGGATAATGGCTTCCACCTTGGGTTGTCACCAGGATTAAACTGGGGGTGGTGTGTGTGATACTGTGGGGGCCTGGGGATGTGAGGAATGTCCAGACCAGGGCCTGGCTTGGCCCCAAGAACATTATTTCCTTGCTATTTTCTGCCTCCTCCCTGCCATCCATCTTTTCTGGGTCTCAGTTTTCTCAGCTATAAGATAAATGGCTTGGATCAGAGGCCTGGAATTATCCTTTCAGCTCTGACCTCTAAGGCTGGGCGCAGTGTCCGGGAGCGGTGGCTCACGCCGGTAATCCTAGCACTCGGGGGGGCCAAGGCAGGAGGATAGCTTGAGCTCAGGAGTTCAAGATCAGCCTGAGCAAGAATGAGACCCCGTCTTCACTAAAAATAGAAAAAATTAGCTGGGTATGGTGGCGTGCACCTGTAGTCCCAGCTACTTGGGAGGCTGAGGCAGGAGCATTGCTTGAGCCCAGGAGTTTGAGGTTGCTGTGAGCTAGGCTGACACCACTGCATTCTAGCCAAGGCAACAAGAGTGAGACTCTCTCTCAAAAAAAAAAAAAAGCTCTGACCTCTGTTCTTTCATGGCCTCCAACTTACCCTGGACGGGTCAGTTGCCCTCTCGGGCCTCTGTTTCCTCCTCTGTGCACTAGACAGGCTGGGCTAATGGCCACTCAGATCTCCTAGCCCCCCGCCCACAGAGTTCCCCCAAATCTGCAGGAAGAACAGAGAAGCAGGTCTGGGGCCCAGGTGTGGGCTCTGGCTGCAGACCCCAGTCTCCTGCTACACACAGGGACTGGGGTCCTCCCGGGGCATGTGCCCTCTGACCCAGGGCCCGTGAGAGTGGTCAGCTCTGCCACCATCCAGCTGTGCAACTGTGAGTAGGCACTGACCTCCTGGAGCCCCACTCCCCTCATCTGTCAAATTGGCTAGTGACCCTCTGATGGCAGGGTGGGTATGAGATCCTGGGGGTGATGTTTTAGAGGGTGCTGTTAATCGCACGGGGCTGGGGGATGCTTGGGCCAACACTGGGGAAAAGTTGCTGGTTATCCACCATGTGGCACAGACAAGGTAAGGGAGGTAGGAAGAGATCCGGGCATCTGGAGGCCCAGGTCACTGCTGCAGGAGCCTGGAGTCTTATGTGCTGCCCACCTCGACTCCTTGCCTACAGTCTCAAGGGACAAAGAATGGCCCTGGAGAGCCTCTGGTCTGTATCCACGGAAGGCATGGAAAGGGCAGGTTGCAGCCTGCTCTGGGCGTGGCTGACAGGCTCTGGGGAGAGGATGCCGGAGGGTTAGCACAGTTTCTCCATGTGGATACGCAAGGAGTCTAGAGCCCAGGCCAGTTCCCCTGGGCCAAAGCTGTGGTTCTCAACTGGGGGCGAGCTTGCCTCCCCTCCTCCCGGGGACATTTGGCAATGATCAGAGACATTTTTAGTGGTTGCAATTGAAAGAGACAGAGTTGCCTCCTGTCTACCTAGTGGATAGGGCCAGGGACACTGCTAAGCATTCTATAATAAGGCACAGGAACCCCCTTCCTCCCTGATAAAGAATTATCCTGCCCCAAATGTCAGTGGGGCCAAAGGCAAAGGCAGGGGCTCTGCATTGGACAAGTGTGTACGCCCTCTAGCCCCGCCCCTGGCCTCTGCACCGCCCCCTACCCCCCTCCCCACAGCCTACCGTGTCGAGGTGTGTGCGCTGGTGCTTGGCGCGGTCGCTGGAGTTGCTGAAGGCCTTCTGGCAGCCTGGGTGCTGGCACAGGTATGGCTTCTCGCCCGTGTGGCTCCTCAGGTGGATCTTGAGGTTCTCCAGCCGTGAGAAGGCCTTGCTGCAGCCTTCAAACTGCAGGACAGGCTGGTGAGGGACACTCTCAGCCCTGCGGGCACCCCCATCCCCACCTGGAAACTCAGCCCCCAGCTCCTGCCCTGTCCGAGCCTCCAGGAGCTCCGGTTGGCTCCCTGTGAAGTGCTCAGGGCCCAGAACCTATCTGGGAAGCCCTGGTGGGTCCATGGAGAGTATACTCCTGACTTAGAGGTGGGGCCCTAGGGCTGGAGAACAGCACCATTTCTGGAGCTAAGGACCCCTCCCCAGGGCCACCTGGAAAGGACAGGTGCTACAGCACAGCGCTCAGTCAGCACTCTGAGGGCGGGTGCGTCTCAGCACAGACAGCCTGAGATGTGGAGCCCAAGGCCTGGGTCTGAATGGGGCTCTGTCCCAGGAGGCTCTGGGCAGTGCCCTTCAGCCCTTTGGGCCTGATTTCCTTGTCTTCAAACTTGAGATGTGTGGCCACCACCCAGCAGGGCTGATATGAGGGCCCAAGGGGTGGGACGCTGAGTGTCACGGGGCTTTGTCCACCTGGAGCACAGCATCGGCGGTAACTGTTGTCAGAACAATAACTGCATCTGTAAGCTGCAGGGTCTTTCATTTTTCGTGTGGCTCTGCTATCACATTGGCCCTCCACGCTTTCCTGCCTCTCTTTAGGCCCACCCCATACTCCAGATCAACATCAGGAGCCGCTGGGAAATTTCCAGCCTGTGTTCATGAAGACGCTCAGCAAGGACTGTCCCTCTCTCACAGCCTTCCATCCAGTCTCCCTCGGCCCTCGCCGTCCCGCTCCAACGCTGCCCGGTGGAGGCAGCAGACTCTGAGCCTTTGGTGTGGCTGGCTGCTCCTTCCTGCTTCTCCCCACCGTCTGACCCTGCTCCCGCCAGGCTGATGGTCCGGCGTGTGCACGCACCGGTGTGAGGAGGGGGCTGCTGCTAACTGGTGTCCGCTACACCCAGGAGTGGTGCTGCGTGTTTGACCACACAACAGCTATGAAGTATGTGATATCAATGTCCCTATCTCAGAGATGGAGGCATCATATAGTAAAAGTGACCTGTCCAAGGCCACAGGGCTGTGACATGGCAAAGACAGGACTCAGGCCAAGTCTGATGCCAAAGGCCAGGTGGCTCTGCTATGCCCACTGCCTTCCCAGGGGCAGGTGACCTTTGAGGAGGAAGGGACCAGAAGAAGCAGGCTCCCTTTCCCGAGCCATTGGTTTCCTTCCCTAGGTCCAGGGATGAACTGCCAACCATGAGACCTTAACCCAGATTAGGGACTATGGGACCTCACCCTTCTGAACCAGGGGCCAGCCTGGGCTCCCAGGAGCAGGTGGCTCAGGATGAGGTGTGGGCAGCTGTGTTCCTCGAGGGCCAGAGCCCCCCCCCGCCAGCCTGCTTTCCACCCCTGTCCCTGGGTCATCTGCGGGGGTGGAGGAGCTGACGGTTCTCATGTACGCGTCCACATTTGGAACCCTTGCCCTCCCTCTTTCTGAGCTGGGCACTGGTTTCTTTCTTGTTCTCTCCAGCTTTCAAGTCACCTTATCCACCAGTGAGTTTATGGGCGGGTGCCCGAGAGGACTGTGGGCAGAGTCCAGACCCTGTGGTTCACCTGGCTGGTTTTCTTGGCGCTAGTCCCAAGCCAGCCAGCACATCTAGGGATTTTTGGTGTGGGGCTGTTCATCTGGACAGGCTGGCTCCAGCGTGTGCTGGCTGGGTGGTGCCGGGATGCAGAGCCCAGACACGGGTCCTACCCTCCAGTTCCCATGCGGGAGACACATGCGCACACGCGCGCGCACACACACACACACCATCATAAAACGCTGCGGTTGAGCTGTCATGGTGGGAAACGGGGCTGTGGCAGCACCGAGGAGGCGTCTAAGCTAGCCTGGGGGCCGCAAGATGTCTCCGAGGGCTGGATGACTGTAGCAAGCTTGGAGAGACGTGTAGGAAGTGTGGAGACACAGGCAGTCGGTTACGACAACACTGATGCATTCGCTTCATCAATCACTCGTCGCCTGAGCCTCAAACCACGACCAGCAGGTCCAAAGAAGACAGCGGGGCAGCGGGCATGAGGGCCAAGGGAGGAAAGGCTCAGAGGCTCCAAAGTAGGAAAGGCCACAGATTCCCTGTAAAGGCCCCTCTGCGGCTGATATGGGGTACACGCTGGGGGTGGGCTGGGTTCTTGTGGAGCCTGCTGGGAGGGCAGAGGCCAGATGGCAGGAGCTCAGATGCCAGGCTGATAAGCTTGTGCTCCACCTCGGGGTCAGTGGAGACCATGGAAGAGCCTTAAGAAGGGAGGGGACAGGGTCAGATACGCACTCTAGGAAGACCCCTCTGGCTGCTGCTGACAAGTGAGGGCTGGAGAGGAGGCAGGGAGAAGGCAGCTGTGGCAGTTATAGGGGAAGGTCAGCGAGGCCCGATCCAGGGCAGAGGCGGCAGGAGGAGTGGAGGCCAGGGCAGAACCACTCCGATGGACATGAGGACAGGACTCAGAGACGATGACCAGTCCCGGGCGAGCTCCCTCCTCGCCTCTCCCTTGAAGGCCCGACCGTAACTGTGGGCCATGCTCTGCTGGGGCCGGCCCAAGGCAAGCCGCCCGCAGCTGGGTTTTAGAGGCTGTTCTGCTTCCTAGTTCCAGATGTTGTGCCTTTTCTATGCATCAAAACCAGAAGGAAATCCTGTTTGGGGAGTAAACAGGCCACAGGCCGCCCCTTGCTCGCCTGCAATGGCCTTGTGCCAAGTTCACCCCAATGTGTGACGGAGGAGCCTCGGCTGGAGCTCAGCATCCGGCTCGTCCCTTTGTTCCCCCGCCCCCCAGGCCGTGCGGGGAGGGGAGGTATCCGCAGCAGAGGCAATAACTCCTGAGCTGCGTGATTTTCCCGACTTTGGTAGAGTCCACTGGACCCTGGAGACCGGTATATCATCCCCTCTGCCAAGGCCTGCGTATTCCTGTCTGGGCCGGCCCTCCTCCTCAGCACACTCGCTCCCACCCCGCCTTTGTTCAGACTGGGCTTCTCCTGGGACACCTTGCCTTCCAACTCTCTGACAATCTAATTCATACATTTTTCAAAAGTCCAGCATCCACAGCTCGGTAGTTCATGGTCTCCCGACATGGACCCAACCACCTCTCCCATCGCATGCCCTCGTGTCATCTGCTGGAGTGACTGATGACTGTCTCTGGACCTGGCAGGAATTTCCAAGCCCTCAGGCCTTTGCATGAGCTGTTCCCTAGGCCTGGAGTGCCTTTCCTTCACTCAGTCAGCAGACATCAACTCCTACTGCTCAAGCGCCACCTCCTCCGAGAAGCCTTCCCCATTCCCTGGTCTACGACACCCCTGAGCTGTGGGCGAGGTGTTCACTGTACAGCCATTGCCTTCTCTCCAGGCCCCCAGGGATGAGAGCTTGAGAGTCCCCAAGGGCAGGGCTGTCATTTCAATCATAGGGCAAAGGGGGTGGGGGTTAGAAACATGATCCAGGGGTTGCTGGGCATGGGTGTCCATGCACCCCTGGGAGTACAGCTCTTCAGCCCGGTGTTTGCCAAGGTACCCCGACACATGTGCGTGTACGGCCCAGCCTGTCCTTTACCCTGACCCTGCCACCCACCCTGGGACTTCCCAGAGCTGAGCTGTGGGCTGGGGTATAATAAGCAACTGGCCGGGGTGCCCTGACGGGAGCGGCCCATCCCTCCAAGTGGAATCAGAGGTAGCAGTAGGAGGGGAAGGGACGCTGCCCCAACGGAACTGGTCTGGGATGAGGATGCTGCCAGGACCCCTGGCAGAGCCGTGGCCCCATCAGGACCAGCATCCTAGACATGCCAGGGGCCTTGAGGGGTTTTGGGCTTTGCTTGTAGCTACCTGCCAAGGTCCCTGTGGTCCTCCCTACTGAATAAATTCACAGATAGGGACAGCAGAGAGGAGGATGGGAGTGACCATCAATTAAGCACCTACTGTGTGCTGGCTCTGCTGGGCCCGGTGCTGTCACAAATGTGGCATCGCATCCTTTCTGGGGCCCTTCAGGCAAGGGTTACTGTCCCCCTGTCAGATGAGGGGCTGAGGCTCAGGGGGCAGCCAGCACAGCAGTTACAGACACGGACTCTGGTGTGGACTGAGCTGGGCTTGTGTCCGGCTGCTCCACTTACTGAGTGATCTTGGGCGAGTCACTTCAACTCCTTGAGCCTCAGTTTCCTCGACTGTAACACTGGATGAGCTCTACCCACTGTAGAAGGGGGCTGTGGGGATTAAATGAAGCGACACATAGTAAATTCAAAACCCTAGGAAGGGGCTGACCCAGGGGCGCCTCCAGCTGGGGGAGGCTGCGGAGCTACAGAAGCCTGGTGCTTAGGCAGGGTCTGGACACATGTGGCTGGGAAAGCGTTTCGAGGGGGGAAAGCACGAACAAAGGCGCAGAGACCAGCAGGGGTGGTATATGTTCTGGAAACCGCTAAGGATACGTTGAGCTGGAAGGAAGTGGGGGGCGGGGAAAAGAGGGATAGGCGTAGAGATGGAATTTGGGGGCTCCCTTCATTTAAACATACGGGGTGATGATTCATTCTGGAGCAGGCAAGTTGTGGGATTTCTGATCCCCAAAGAGTTCACAGAAACCACTAATTACTAATGTTCTTCCCCAAAGGGGTGACATGAGTCTATTCATGGGAGACTCTGGTGTCACTTCTGCTGGCCAGACTACCCCAGCCCCTGACCTCCCACCTTTTACCCAGATACTGGAGCCAGGAACCTGTCCCCTTTTCCCTGGCCCCTTTGTCTAACCAGCCACCAACCCAAGGAAATGCTACTTCTTAAGTATCTTTCCCGTCTGCCCCTCCCCTTCTTATCTGCCCCACTGGCCCCATCCACACCTCAGCATCCCTCACCTGCGTGACTGTACCAGGTGCCATCCTGCCTCCCTCCCTGCCCTCCCAACTCATTCTCACATGGTATCCAGAATGAAGATTTAAGCCCGTAGGTCTGTTCATGTCCCTCCCTGCTCAAACCCTGCATCGCTCCCCAGTGCCTCAGCATG